ATGAGGAAGAAAAAGATGAACTCCTACGCAGGAGTCTACACGGCACCTTAAGAAGAAGTATATTTGTTTAATTTGTGTAATTGATACCAATTAAATTTTTAGTTACGTAATCGAGGGCGCGATTTTTAAATTCATTGTTGCCAACCATGGACATATTTTGCGGCGGGCGGCGGGCGGGCTGACTAACTGGAATTTAAATTTCCGCTGGAGATTCAGGTGGTAGCTCTACTGTAAAAAATGTCAAGTTTCTACATTTATTTATTTATTTCCTGACATTGTCATTCGTTTTGACACTTTAGTTTTGTATTACGAGTTTTTGGGTTAAATAAATAGTGTTGTGGTACTTTAAGCTTAAAAATGTTTACTAGCAGACCTTGCAGTCAAATATTGTTCTTTTAACACCTCTTTTAGTGCGAAGTGTATAAGATAGCTTAATAGCCGTAAAAAACTCACTGCAACTTTATTAAAATATTTTGAACGGAAACCGGTAGTAATGGCCCTTTATGTCCCTTAAGTGTTAAAAATGTGAGTTTTGTTGATGTAAATAATAACTGTTTATATACAGGGTGAGTTTCTTACGATGTTCTCTATGGGTATCTCGGAAACTACTGGAGATAGAGAGTCGGTTAAATGGGGAAAAAATTGCAGTTTTGTGGGGTCATAAATATGCGCCTTTCAGATTTTTGAAAAAGTTCATGGCTTACTAGATATTTCGAAAAAATACAAATTTTGGCTATTTTAAAAATTATCCCTAATTCCATTATAAGCTATTTTAGACAAAAAGTTTTCAAATGAAAGTTGTAGATAATCTCATCCTTAATGAGATTGTGTCGTCCGTTTTCTTCTAAAGACTCTCGTCGTTGACACATGACACAAACATATTTTTTTTAGATGGAAACCATAGTTGGCCATGACTTCATAAAAAGCGCCATTTTTAAAGCTTTTCAGCGATATAAGCTATAATATGTTTTCTTCGAAAAATTACTGAGTTATAGCCAATTCTTATCATTTTTAAGCAATTTCACATAGTTAGCCATGGAAACAAGTTCAATCTCCGTTGCTCTCAGAAATGTGAAGCTGTCACATCCAAACTTTGTAAATTAAAATAAGCAAAAATTGTAAATATTAGTTTTTCAAGTGAAGAAAGCGTGTAGTATTATTGGTTCAACTATCCTTGACCATACATTTTCGAGGATACGTTAACCGGTGCATGTTACGTTTCTTAGAGTAGGGTTTTCAAGACATGTTAGAAAAGTTAAATTTATTTATAGCCAATTCTTATCTTTTTTGACTAATTTCAATTAGATTGCATGGTACATATTCTTATTCTATTATGATTTATAACTTATAAAAAGTCGGAATATATTACTAAACGGTTCTCACAATTTACATTACACAAACTAAAGTTATTTTAGAAAATGTTCAAAAAATCCGCCATTGTTTTGAGTTGCTTCTTTTTAAAACTCAATTACTACCTATTCTCACAGAAGGACCGATCGACTTAGTTAAACTTCTCTCGTACTGCCACTTCGAGTGCCTCTCTTAATTCATAAGTTCTTTTGTAAACCCTTTTGTTAACCATACTGCATGTAGAATGTTTAGGAGGGGAGTTAATCACCGCGACCTTATAGATCTATTGTGTGTTCCCCTTTCTTGAGTTATAACGAGTTATAACTCATCATACAGTCTCAGGGCTTTAAGAAAAGCCAGTATCTGAGACGGCTCCACAGAGGCCAGCTCTCCATCCTCGACATCAGACGTACCAATGGTCGTCGTCTCGGCGCACTCAGTGATAAGGTGTTCTGGTGTTTCCCCATTTTTCCCACAAAATCTGCATTCGCCGTTGTTTCTCAGTTTCAGCCTACTCAGGTGTTCGTTGAGGAGACAGTGTCCTGTTAGAAACCCCGTGACAATCCGAAGATTGTTTTTACTTAAATCAAGGAAAACCTTTGATTTTCTCGGTCATAAGTTCTAAGGAACTTTTCGAGTGTCTTAGACCGTTGGAGGACACCCATTCCAAGTTACGGATGGAGTCTTCCAGATTCTTTAGTTCCGCTTTCAGTTGGTTCCCGTTTGGAAAACAGAACGGTTCTGGTCCAGTTAGTGGAGTGTTCGCTCCTTTTCTAGCTAGATCATTTGCTTTTTTCATTGCCTTCATCCCTTGGTGAGCAGGTACCCAGAGTAGGAGGACTTTATTTTCTTTGCCTAATTTGTTGAGCTTCTCCAGGCATTCTTTGACCAACTTCGAATTGATGGTTACTGAGTTGATCGCGTTAAGTGCTGCTTGACTATCGGATAGGATGGCAATTTCCTGTTTTCGATAGTTCCTATCTAAGATAAATTGTACGCATCTTTCGATAGCGCAAATTTCTGCCTGAAGGATACTGGGGTAGGTGCCCATTGGTTCGGGGTATTCAGTTTTCGGCCCAAATACTCCTATCCCTGTCCCTGCTTTGGTTTTGGAAGCATCCGTATACCACGTTTATGCATATTTTACCACGTATGGTCTTTTATATGCTGAGTAAGCGTCTCTTTCTTCAAATCCTTTTTATTACTAATAATACTACAGTGAGGTGTTTCTCAAAGTTGTAAATTCTTCGTATGTCATCCACTGGGAGTTGGAGAAGTGGAATTTTCTTTTTGAGGGTGTTCCAAGCCCCTGACCTGAAAATTCTCCCAGTACTGTTTCCGACAGTAACCATTCTAATCATTGTCGCATTGGCATAACTACCGACGACAATGTGCAGTGATGTTAGGTCTAGAATGACCTCCATTGCTGCTGTTGGACATGTTCTCATGGCACCTGTAATGCAGATACATGCCAGTCTCTGTACTTTGCACAGGTTTTGCCTTGCTGTACGTTGCTCTAGTTTTGTATACCAAGCAACTGCTCCATAAGTAATCATGGGTCTTACTATCATGGTATACATCCAGCGCAAAATGTTAGGGGCGCAGCCCCACCTATTTCCCGCCAGTTTTCTGCATATCATGAGAGCCCTTGTGGCTTTGCTGGAAATGTTCTTAATATGCCTGTTCCAGAGAAGTTTACTATCCAGGGTTATTCCCAGATATTTCACTTTCTGTGATGGCAGTATTTCCTTTCCATCTAGATGGATTCTTTTCAAGTTTTTCAAACTTCGCTTTCTGGTGAATGGCACTACTGCGGTTTTATCTGAGTTAATACTCAGCCCGACAGTCCTGCACCATCTCTCAGCGATGCGGAATCCTCTTTGGATAATATCACACAGGGTGCCTTCATGTTTCCCCCGTGCAATGATGACTATGTCATCTGCATACCCTATGCAGTGTATTCCCGCTAGAGTTAATTCTTCCAGTAGTTCATCTACTACCAAGCTCCACAGTAGGGGGGAGGTCACTCCACAACCATACCGCATAAAAAAATTAAAATTGTGAGCGAGGAGGCCCATGCAATTGGTCAACCTCTTCCTATTCCTGAGTTTGCATAATTATGATATAAATAATTTTGAACATTTCTTTCATTATGGGGGGGGGGGAGGTTCATAATGAAAGTCATGTTGGAACCACTCTATTGATGCGCCAGTATCTTACTATCAAAAATCCTGTGAAAAACACGATTTTTTTCATTTGAAAAATTCATATTTACAATTTTTGTTTATTTTAATTTACAAAGTTTGGATGTGACAGCTTCACATTTCTGAGAGCAACGGCGATTGAACTTGTTTTCACGACTAACTAAGTGAAATTGTTCAAAAATTATAAGAATTGGCTATAACTCAGTAATTTTTCGAAGAAAACATATTATAGCTTATATCGCTGAAAAGCTTAAAAATGGCGCTTTTTATGAAGTCATGGCTAACTATGGTTTGGCTATTTTTTGGCCTCTGTGGAGCCGTCTTGGCCTCTGTGGAGCCGTCTCAGATACTGGCTTTTCTTAAAGCCCTGAGACTGTATGATGTGTTATAACTCGTTATAACTCAAGAAAGGGGAACGCACAATAGATCTATAAGGTCGCGGTGATTAACTCCCCTTCTAAACATTCTACATTCTACATTCTACAACTATGGTTTCCGTTGTAAAAAATGTATGTTTGTGTCGTATGTCAAAAATGACAGGCTTTAGAAAAAACCGGAGAACACAATCTCATTAAGGATGTGATTATCTACAACTTTTATCTGAAAACTTTTTGTCTAAAATAGCTTATAATGGAATTAGGAACAATTTTTAAAATAGCCGAAATTTGATTTTTTTAAATATCTAGTAAGCCATGAACTTTTTCAAAAATCTCACAGGCGCATATTTATGACCCCACAAAACTGCAATTCTTTCCCCATTTAACCGACTCTCTATCTCCAGTAGTTTCCGAGATACCCATAGAGAACAGCGTAGGAAACTCACCCTGTATTTATAATTAATATATTTTTGTTTCCTAAAATATTTTGATTAGAAGAAAATATGTAAAAGTGGGCAACGCTGTGCCAGTCAAGCTTAAGCACGTGACTAAAAGTTTATTTCATATTAACTATATTTTTGGTTCGTTTTTATTGTATACATGTTTCTGTTAAGAAATTTGACGTATAAATTTCAAGTTGAAAAATGTCATCAAAAATTGATAAGAGATTCGTTATTAATGCACGATTACGTATAAATTAATAATTATCAGTTCAATATTGAATTAGTTGTTTAAATAACATCTGTATCAATTTCCGATAAAATAATTAATTATGTTATTAATCGTTTGTGTTATAGCCGATTGTAAATTATCTAATATTTGAATAGGCATATTAGCGTTTGATATATTGTTTGACAGCCACGTGTATGAGATTTAGTATTAGATTTTTTAAAATACTTTTTTATTAAAATATTTCTATTTTCATCACTTTAACAAAAAACTACTTAAAACTACTAAATTTTAATTATACCTACAAGTAATAATGACTTGGTAAAAAACATTGATAATGCCAAAAATAATTGAAATAGTTTTTTTTTATTACCTAAAGGAATAAAATAAAAAAGACCAAATTGTTATTTGATTTTATTGTCTGATTTTTTTTCACGTAACACGGTTTTCTTAATTTGCGGAATATACAATTTCTGCAGTCGCAATCCAGGGTATTCTATCATCAATGTAGTCAGCATACCGAAAGCGTATGACAGTACAACATCAATTATGTAAGACGAAACCTTAAAATAAGAGAATAATATATTTTCTGATATATAAAAAAAGGTTTTAAGATTACCAAAGCGAAAAATGAATATCTGTATAACGTTCTTCTTGCTCCATGCAGCAGAAACACCAAGAAGAAATGGTAAACATACGTGCAGTAAGTGAAGTTACTCATTTTTACTGCAAAATCCCATTCCAGCACTTTTTTTATCAAACCTGTGTACAGACAAAAAATATTTAATAAAAAGAGGCTGAAAGAAACAATACATTTGATACACAGAAAATAGAGAAAGTTAATAAAATTTACTTTGATAATTAAATTCCAAATCATTTTTTAGATCTTATTACCTCCATAACCCTTAGAGAAGCCCAAGACACCTATTCCATACCCTAAAGCAGATAAGGGTTTTATAAAAGGTCCCAAAATAGCTCTGTTCAAGCCATTTACGTCAGCAATAGTCAGCAAAATGGCAGCAGTAGGTAAAACGATGACAACAGCCAGCCAAAGCATTCGTTGAACCTAAAAATCAAATAATCATTGTTATAGTAAAGTTATTAGTAGATTTTGTTAAATTACTTTAGGTTTTGAACTGGATTATACAGGGTGTTTCAAAATACATGTGGCATTTCTCTTAGGGAGATTCCTCCCGTAAAAAGAAGATCTATATTTTTCATCAACATAGGTCCGATTCTGCTTTGTTTCGTAGCAACAAGGTGTTAAAGTCTTAATATTTTTTCGATTTATTATAATTTACTTCCAAGTAGTTTTAGCGTTTCGAATGAAATTTTTGAGGGTAAAAGTTACTATAAATGCAACATATTTTTTGCATATTATATAGGTTATCACTGGATATTTTTCTAAAAAAAAGGATGTACGCCATTGACTATTTTTACTCTTATTAGCGAAACAGTGTAAGCAGTTTAATGCCGATTAAAAGTTGTCTTTTGATATTTTGTCGATTTCGGCCTCCTTGATGAGATAAACGCAATTTTATTAATTCGCCTTGATCGAATTCTAATAACAACCTTTAAAAAAATGTATATCACAATTTAAAAAATTTTAATATCATTAACTTGCAAAAGTTTTAAATATGTACTCATTGATTCGTGCATTCAAATATGAAAAAAAGTCCCTATATACATGGATATGGAAATGCATAATTTTAGAGTTACAGGATGTTAAAACATTTAAAATTAGATTTTTTGTAATTATCTTAAATACCATTATTTTTTTATTTCAATTGCTGTAGGTTGCACTAATAGTAATAACAGCTAACAGTAGTAATATTTAATAATAAATTAGGTAACATATATAATTTATTAATTTTATTTTTATTTCAATTTTATTAAATTGCGATTAATAAAATTGCGTTGATATCATCAAGGAGGCCGAATTCGACAAAATATCAAGAGATAACTTTTAATTGACATTAAACGGCCTACACGATTTTGATATCAAAAGAAAAAAGTCAGTGGCGCACATGTTTTTTTTGAGAAATATTCCAGTGATAACCCATATGCACGTCCCTGATAAATCTATCGACACTTTTTTAGCATTAAAATATGTCGCACTTACAGTAACTTATACCCTCAAAATTTCATTCAAATCACTAAAAGTACTTGGAGGAAAATTAAAATAAATCCAAAGATTAACACCCTTGTAGACTTTAACACCTGTAGCTTTAACACCCTGTAGCTATGAAACAAAGCAGAATCGGACCTATGTTGATATAAAAAATAAATCTTATTTTTACATGAGGAATCTCTCCACGAGAGATGACACATGTTTTTTAAAACACCCTGTATAATTTTAATCAATATTTAGGTAACATAGTTCAAACTTACTGTATTCATCTTGATTTCCTTGTTCTTGATTTTGAAGTAAATGTATCCTAAGGCTATACCAACAATACTTGTCGACCAGCTAGCAAGAGGATTAATATATAAGTAATAAAATGCAGGTGAATCTAGCAAGCCTCTGATAGATCTATAAAAAAAAGAAAAAAACATATACAGGGGTAACTCTTAAATTAATTAAAATAAATTATCTTTTCTTCTATTTGCCATTTTTAAAATAAATTGAAAATAACTACAAGACACTAACTAATATACTAGTGTCTTTTAAAAGTCAATACATGATGTCCATTTTTCGACACTTTTGCATGGTATTTCGCTTATTTTTTTGAATTTTGATTTAATTGAGTCGTTTCAAAGTTATTGAAGGTTGAAGTTCAATTTCAAATCGTATATGATACCTTCCACAATTTTTTATATTTTATTACGAAATAATGGTTCATAAACATAAAATATTATATTTTATGTTTTAAAGCCATTATTTCGTGATAAAATATGATGTTTTATGCTTTTGAGCCATTATTTTGTGATAAAATATAAAAAATTGTGGATGTTATCATATACGATTTGAAATTGGATTTTAACCTTCAATAACTTTCAAATGTGTCGATTAAATGAAAATTCATATCAGGCCATTTTAGAAGACCGTTCAATTTCCTACAAGAATATGTATTGATTTTTACAGAACGCTGATTTGTTAGAATGTTATAAATTTCCAATGTAAATCAGTTTATGTTCCCGTGTTATTTAAATAGGAAATATAAAATCACGATGAGGGGGGACACCTCTTAGTATTAATATTAAGAGCTCAAACTTTACCTAAAAAAACTGTTTAAAGAGAATCTGAAACAATTAATACTAGAAAATCAAATGCCTACACACTATTTTTTCTGACCTTCCTTAGACAAGATAATATTATACAGGGTGCTACAAATTCGAGGTACGAGCATTGGTATCTCGGAAACCGTATAGATACGAATATGGTTAAATTGGAGCAAAGTTGCGCCTTGGGATGTTCACCAAGATGCCATCAAAGAAGTTTTAAAAATTTCAAGGATTGCTGAGGTTTTTGGAAAAATCAGATTTTTTGGAAAATAAATTTTATTTTTTTCTGTCGTTACTTTTTAGAAAATCAAAAAGCTAATTACAGATTCTCATAGCCACTTTATTAGGGCTATCCGATAGTATATTTAGATTTTCAAATTAGCTGATAATTTGTGAGATACAGAGGCCAACTTAATTTTTTTTAAATACGGACCTGCATTTTTTATTTTAGGTTTTGAAAGAACTCGGTCTCCTGAGTAGAATGACAAGATATGCCACATTTTATACTTCTTTTTGTTTTGGGTACCTTAACAACAGCAAAACTCTTTAATTATTATTTCAAATAATTTCAAGTCTGACTCTGGTTTTTTAAATTATTTAATCTGATTATATTCATCGCAACAATATTGATCAGCGCTAATTAACATAGACTAAGGAAAATCGAGCCAATTGAAAGATTCGAATAAATAATATCGAGGTCAGCAATTTGAAGATATTATTTTTAACTTTTTTTATTGTGAATTTAAAATCTGAGTGTACGATCTCTAATAATATGCATAATATTAATCGTAGTTACTATAAATAAATCAACTTCTACAAACTAGTTTCTAATGCTCTACATGATTACTACCCTCCCTGTTGCACAAATTTATATATCTCCTTGTTATATTTTCGTTGGCCATTTTACTGCTCTACCATTTCCAATCTATCTTCCGGGGAAATGATTTGATTGTTTTAATTATGTATATTATATTTATATTATTTATTTTATATTATTCTTTATTGCATTTAATTTTCTGTATTCAATGTTTTACCCCACGTCATTGTTAAGTTCGAAGGCTTATCAATATTGTAACGATATAAATAGATTAAATATTTAAAAAAAAACAGAGCCGGAACTGAAATTAGTTTAAATAAATTGTGTTCAAATGTCCGAGACAAAAAAAAGTATAAAGTGAGGCATATCATTGTACTCAGAAGACCAAGATATTTCAAAACCTGAAATAAAAAATGCAGGTCCGTATTTCAAAAAACTAAGTTGACCTCTGTATCTCACAAATTATCAGCTAATTTGAAAATCTAAAAATACTGTCAGATAGCCCTAATAAAGTGGCTACGAGAATGTCCAATTAGTTTTTTGATTTTCTAAAAAGTAACGACAGGAAAAAATAACATGGATTTCCAAAAAAATCCGTTTTTTCCAAAAAAACTCAGCAATCCTTGGAATTTTTAAAACTTTTTTGATGGCATCTTGGTGAACATCCCAAAGCGCAACTTTGTTCCAATTTAACCATTGCTCGTAGCTATTACGGTTACCGAGATACCAATGCTCGTACCTCGAATTTGTAGCACCCTGTATAATATTATATTATCATGGTAATAAAACATTACGTGTCTATCTTTCCATCTCTGTCGTGCACTTTTTGGCTAACTATCTTATTCCGCCGTAGGACGTACGAAGAGCATGAAAAATTCCCGCTTCAACTTTTCCAATTATAGTTTAGCGACTTGGGAAATAAATTTTTCCACTTTTCCGATGATTTATCCGCACTCGATTTTTCATTTAGTTGGCCATTAAAGAGTCCATTCTAGCCTCTGGTGAATTTTCACATCGCAACGGCCACATTATATAGACCTGAGTACAGAGTTGGCACAGAGAGAGCACACAAAAAATTATATCTATGGAGTTTATTTCTAGCATAAAAAAGTTTAATCGATAAAAAACTCAAATAAGGAAAATTGGGCGGCTATTAAATGCATAAACCTTTGAATAAAAAGATTGAGGAAGGTGTAAAATAATGCTCTATCCATGTTTTCATTAATGGTAGGCGGAGGTGAGACCCTAAAGTGGGGATCCTTATTTGACACATTTGAATTTGATTTGGAATGTTGTAGATTTATCAGTCTTTACTGCGCTTATTTTATGTTATTTATTATTTAATCTATAAATGGTAGTTTTTAGAGGTAGTAAATCTCAGAGCCCCATCTTTTCAAGATATTTTGACGACGTTTCGTGCACTATGGAACCCTATCATCAATGGGGAAAACATCGTCCGATTTAATGGGTCTTTGGAGTGTCGTATATTGGGCCCTATGTGAGCTAGGGGACTGAAACTTGGAATGTAGTTCTCTTTCCATGATATTTTGACGAAAGTTTCGTACACTACAAGACCCCATCATCAATGAATCAAATCAAAAAATCTTCCGATTTAAATAAAATTTGGTATGTCGATAGATTGGACCAAGGCCAACTTGATCATGTACGACACGTGTCACTGTGACAGTTAGTTTTGACTTAAAAAACGTCAAGAGTTGATGTCGTCTGATCGACCAAATTTGGTGAATAGGCTATGTGGGCGACAGTGCACACGGCCGCACCCTGCAAAGTTGGATACGAGGTTTCGTCTACATCTTCATCAGGATGGAATGAAGGATTTGATATTCAAAAAAAAATGTGGGTCGATTTCGGCATAATTGGGGACGGGCTACAGGATGACGCTTTCGAGCTTTCGAACCGATGATGCTTCTAACTCTAAATGCACGAAATCACGATTCTTCTTAATTATGGGTCGATTGGAACCAAACTCCGCACGTAGATAGAGGTACCCGAATGGAGACCTCAGACTGACAGACGGGGATGTAGGCACTTCAAATATGCGCACATAGTGCACACACAATTTTTTTTTATTTTCAAATTATAATATCTCCTATAATATCTTCTATTAATAGTCTCCTATTCAACCACCCCTGAAAAGATTTACACTTATTTAAGACTCACCCTGTATAATAAAGTTACGTGTAGTATATAACGTTTTGAATAAAATTAGAACGGCACTGATAAACTGAAATTTAAATCGGCCAATTGTGGTCTATATTTTTTATGATTTATTACAAATGCATAGTGTTCAGATTTTTCCCTACACTTGTAGTATAAGACGGTATTACTTGCCAAATACTTGCACGATAGTCAGTATGCATATAGAGCAGGCAGATCCACAGAAACTGCTCTGTACCAGTTAACTGAGCTTGCCTGGATAGCAAAGAAACGGCACTTTGTGCCTCCTTGGACATTGCAGGGGCGTTTGACAATATACCTCGCAACATGGTCAAGCGATCTCTTGAAAAAAGAGGGATGAACAGTACGATAATTCGCTGGTTTTGGGAAATGCTCTCAACACGAACAGCAGATTGTTAAAACAACGCAAGGAACTCCACAAGGTGGAGTGACCTCCCCTCTACTGTGGAGCTTGGTAGTGGATGAACTACTGGAAGAATTAACTCTAGCGGGAATACACAGCATAGGGTATGCAGATGACATAGTTATGAGTGCACGGGGGAAACATGAAAGCACCCTGTGTGATATTATCGAAAGAGGACTCCGCATCGCTAAGAGATGGTGTAGGACTGTCGGGCTAAGTATCAACTCAGATAAAACCGCGGTAGTACCATTCACCAGAAAGGAAAGGAAAGTAAGGAAATACTGCCATCACAGGAAGTGAAATATCTGATAGTAAACTTCTCTGATATATTACTTCTTAGATAGTAAACTTCTCTGAAAGAGGTATATTAAGAACATTACCAGCAAAGCTACAAAGGCTCTCATGATATGCAGAAGTCTGGCGGGAAATAGGTAGAGCTGCGCTATGTATATGCGTGTGTATGTGTATACCATGATAGTATATAGGCCATGATTACCTGTGGAGCAGTTGCTTGGTATACAAAACTAGAGCAACGTACAGCAAGGCAAAACTTGTGCAAAGTACAGAGACTGGAATGTATCTGCATCACAGGTGCCATGAGAACAAGTCCAACAGCGGCAATGCAAGTCATTCTAGACCTAACACCACTGCATATTGTCGTCGGTAGTTATGCCAATGCTACAATGATTAGAATGGTCATTGACGGAAACAGTACTGAGAGAATTTTCAGGTCAGGGGCTTGGAACACCCTCAATAAGAAAATTCCACTTCTCCAACTCCCAGTGGATGACATACCAAGAATTTACAACTTTGAGAAACACCTCACTGATAGTAAGACCCACACTGTAGTATTGAGTAATAAAAAGGATTGGGTATAAAAGACCATACCATAACGTGGTATACTGATGCTTCCAAAACCAAAGCAGGGACAGGGATAGGAGTATTTGGGCCGAAAATTAAATACCCCGAACCAATAGGCACCTATCCCAGTATCCTTCAGGCAGAAATTTACACTATCGAAAGATACATACAATTTATCTCAGATAGGAACTATCGAAAACAGAAAATCGCCATCATATCCGATAGTCAAGCAGTTCTTAACGCGATCAACTCAGTAACCATCAATTCGAAGTTGGTCAAAGAATGCCTAGAGAAGCTCAACAAATTAGGCAAAGAAAATAAAGTCCTCCTACTCTAGGTGCCTGCTCACCAAGGGATAGAAAGCAATGAAAAAGCAAATGATCTAGCTAGGGAAGGAGCGAACACTCCACTAACTGGACCCAACTGAAAGCGGAAATGAAGAATCTGGAAGACTCCATCCGTAACTTGGAATGGGTGTCCTCCAACGGTCTAAGACACTCGAAAAAGTTCCTCAGAACTTACGACCGAGAAAAATCAAAGGTTTTCCTTGATTTAAGTAAAAACAATCTTCGGATTATCACGGGCTTTCTAACAGGACACTGTCTCCTCAACGAACACCTCAGTAGGCTGAAGCTTAGAAACAAAGGCGAATGCAGATTCTGTGGGGAAAATAGGGAAACACCAAACACCTTATCACTGTGTGCGCCGAGACGACGACCATTCGTGCCATGAACTTTGGTACGGCTGATGTCGAGGATGGAGAGCTGGCCTCTGTGGAGTCGTCTCAGATACTGGCTTTTGTTAATGGGGATGGGAGGGGGGATGGGAGGGGCTTAAAAATTTTAAAAAATCGTAATTCCAAAATTACAGTAGCTAGCAAAACGCGGTTTTCAATTTAAGATTAGGACCTAAATACAAAATATTTTCATAGTGTCTGTCTAACCAAACCAAACCAAACCGATTTTAACCAAATTTGGCACAAAAATACTGTGGCACCCGAGAATCTGGCCATTAGTTTTTAATGGGGGGTGGGGGGTTGGTAAGGGGGTATGGGAGGAGGTTAAAAATTTTAAAAAATCGTAACTCCAAAATTACAGTAGCTAGCAAAACGCGGTTTTCAATTTAAGATTAGGAATAATATTTGCAACAAAATTTGTAATAACATCAAAATCGGTCAAAGTCGCAGTTTCTGAGATAAAAAATTTGGAAAAATTCCTTTACTTTGAAACTAAAAAACTGCCTACCAACTTTTTATTAACATATTTTAGTATGGGCGGCTATACGTGCCTCCCGGCGCCGTTTTTTTTTCCTTTTGAGGTACGGAACCCTAAAAATTATATAAAAAGATTTATACTTACTCTGTGTTTATTTTATACATAGCATCCACGTTATATGCAAAAATCATAATGCCGTAACAAAGGTTCAGAAACAGGAAAAGAAAAACCAGCAATTTTTTCAAGGTTATTTGAAAATTTAGGTAGATGTAGAGGACGACTATCGTAGTGACGTATAATAAAGTATCTACAGAAAGATACCAACTACCAGGGTTACACTAAAAATTAACTTTTTGACAATAAAGATAGTTTTTTTAGTGGAGTGCCCGGAGACTTTTACCTCGGAATTCAATTACTGTGAATGTATTAATGTGACACCTTCTGTATTGTGTTTTATAGATAAAATACTAAAATGTTCACCCATTTTTTCTGTCGTTGCTTTTAATTTTTTATTTTAGTAATTTTAGTTAGTTCTTAGTTGTTTCTTTCTTAATTTATTTTTTTTTTCAATTCTTTTTCTAAGCATACTTATTTATTGAAATAAATGAATCTAATGCATAAGCTATACCTATTCTGCTTATATTCTATTCATTGAAATTTTGATTGAAATCGAATTATACAGGGTGGCGCCTCATATGCGACGCGGTTTCTGCAAGGAGAACAACAGTTTGTATTGAAGTGAAATTTGGTGAGCTTATGTAAGTTAATTTAAAGCATTTTCTAAAATTATATAGAGTTCTACAAGGTGTCCCCATAAAAAGTTACACATCAAAGTTATGTTTTTTGTAATGGAACACCCTATATATTAATTGGATTCCTGGATTAATTTTCGGATTCTAAGAACAAAATAAAGGTGAATTTTATTAGAAAGGTATATGGCTAAAATGTAAAGTTTTTGAAATATTTAGCATTTTCTAAAAATGAAGAATCAATTTTAAATTTTAATTCTTTATCCTTAAAAATTTCCTTAATATCCATAATTTCAGGTCTGAAAAACTACTGGCTACCGTGTCACGGACAACGGATCCAACTTCGTGAAAGCTTTTAAGGAATTCGGAATACGACTGAGTATGAATGAAGATTATGAAGATGAAGAAAATGGGGATTTAGAATTTAAAAATATCTCAAAAAATCTGGAAAGAATGGAATCTAATATCACAATCTCATTACCTAAACACATTCGATGTACTTCACACACGTTGAATCTTATCGCGACTACCAATATAAAAATATAATTCAGAAAGATGTTACATTGAGGCTTCGTCATACAAATATTTTGACAAAATGCAAAGCAAAATGGCAAATCGACCCTAAAGCGCAGAAATTGTTCAAGAACCCTGAGGCCACACATTAAGTTATCGAGGGCCAACACGCTGGAATTCTCTCTATGAATGATCTGTTTAATAGAGCTATTCGAAAAGATGGATATTAAAAATCAGATGCTCAGAGAGACTGAAATTGCTTTTTAACTGACTACTGCCAAATCTCGAAACATTCTCGAAATTTCTAGCAAATTCAATTGACAGTTTACGGGGCGAAAAAATACCTTTTGTGAAATGAACGTGAAATTGGCGATATCAACTCATATGTACGCCTAAACTTGTAGTAGAGGCAGCCGGGAAAATAGGGGTAACTGAAAGTGTATCCTTTCAAAACAATATTATAATAGACACTATTTGTGAATTCTTTGAATTAGACTGTTCCGACTCTCCAGAGATGCTGCAAAGTTGCAATAAAAGGAAATTTGATCTTAAGATTTTGCAGTACGTAGAGTATCAAAGTATGGACTTGAAATCATTAGATCGATTTCCTGTTATACCAAAACTATTTCTAAGATATAGGTAACACCTTCAACCGTCACCGGCACCCGTTGAAGGGTTTTCAGTTTTGCTGAAATAGTAAACGCACCTCGAAGAAATGCGCTTTGTGACTTACACATTGAACAAATCGTTTTACTAAAGTCGAACGGAAACTACATTTTAGTTAATATACTTGTTACAATTATTTTTATTGTTTTCCTGCAGTTTATATAATTTTTATTTTTACTTCAAATACTTTAAGTAGTTCATAAATCCGGGTATCCTTTCCTTGAACAAAACCAAGTATTATACTAAAGTATTTGAGTCTCAAAAAACTTTTTAAATTAAAATTACTTGGGAATTGGATTTGATTAATATAATGTAACTGATATTTAATACTTGAAATACTTCTTTCCAGCACTTGTGACAGCTCTGCCCTGTATTGTGAAATATAGTTGTCTTTCAAAATACTACATTATATTCCCAATTTAAAAGTAGGTATAAAAAATTTGCTATTTCATAATTTAGAGGATTGTTTTTATTAAGTGTGTAGAAAATGTATGTATAAAGGGTCATAATTAAAAAACCACTCAGTATATTCTATGGTATTAAGGTATTTTTGGAACCGGAATTTTATATCAAATTCACTGAACTAAACAAATATAAAGCGTTTCATTTGAAATATAAAACAGTAGTGTAAAAATATATTTGACTCACCCTGTATATCTTGAAAATATTTTTAAAGTGTGAACTACCATTACACACATATTGTCTAAAAGGTTTGGAGTGAAAATCTCAAATACGAATCCTGATACAGAGCTTTTTCGGAACACTGAGCCATCTTGTATGTATGCATTTGTATATGTGTGTTTATTTAAATACTAAAGTGAAAGCAAATTTAAATGGGTAAACTTTGTTATATATCTTATTAACAATACGATGCAAAAAGTTTTATCAAAATTCCTTAACAGTAATTGAATTCCGAGGTTTGTATCCCACAACGGCTTAAGGCACTCCACTATTTTGTTGGTTTACGAACCATTTGAGTGCTCTTGTAGAGAAAATTTAACTGGAAAATAGTAGCCCACCAAGAATTTTGACAGCCGTTCCAAGACATATTTATGACGTCGACAATGGGAGTTCCATTTGGAAATAGTTTGATTCCTACAAAAATCATCATGACCATTGTCAATAATGTTGGTAATAACCTGAAATGAAAATTTGTTAGTAGGCACGTCCTATTATGACAGTAATTCATGTTGACTTCATTAGAATTTTTAAACTAGCAAAATGAAATTTATACCATTCTGATGTTAAAAAGTAAGAAATTGGTTATCAAACCTAATGATTCTGTTGACAAACAAGATGATCATGTCACCGAAAGTATATCGTCCATTTTTCTTATACAATTCTAGTATTTGATTGGTTATGAGAAAATTGGACGTCATAAAAAAAGTTTGGACAATAAAAACGCTAGACTGATACATAAAAGTCAGTACAGGATTGGCTGCAATATTCTGAAAAATAAAGAAAAGTGATATTGTTTAAATTCAACAACAAAAAAGTAGGTAACTTACCTCTTCGTAGTCTTTAGGATTTTCTATAAACAGCAGTAAATGACATAGATGCGTGTGAAAAATTATGACAAAAATTGTGTTGAAAAATCTTAAGCCTTGAATAGATTTTAATCTCTGGAAATCAGGATTGTTATTTTTCTCTGCAATTCGTTTCCAATTTTCTTTTAAGGAGAATATTTTAGTCCAGGTATCTTCTATATAAAAGTAAGAAAAAGAAATAATCATTTTCGGAAAAATAAGAAGGATAGGATAACAATGTAACACACAAAGATCCTTCAAAACACAAAATACACTGAGATGAGATGAATTTTAACGCACTAAACCAATGAACACTGGACAACAAAAAAAATGTAACATACCATGTAATATACCGGGTGCGTCTCAAAAGTGTCTCACCCCTATAACTTTTTTATTTTTTCAGATAAAAAAAACGAGATTTGGTATGTTATATACGACATAAATAATATATATGACATATGTAAATTAGGATTGATTGACGTATTCAGTTGTTTTCGGTCACTTCCTGTTTCACCGGAAATGGCTACAACTTTTGATTTTTAAATGGCACCTTCGGTATTTTTTAACTTTATTCGATAGAAAATGACACTCTAAATCGAATGACATATTGTCAAGGTCAAGGTGTATTTCTGGTTGCATAACTGCATTACTGCTACGTAACCGCAACGTGCATGGAGGAACCTGGCGAATTCGCCAGAAAGTAAAAGAAAATTACAGAATTCTTTAGAACGTTCCAGAAAGACTTGCCAGGGGGTATATAAAGGCCCGCGCTTTGGCAGTTGGCAGTCTGAAGTTTGATAATACCGCGCTTTAAATTGTGAATTAATTGGCGAAGGTGCCAGTACCGTTAGAGTAATAGTAGTTGCATAAATTGTGTTGTAAATAGTTGTGTGTACAGAGTGAGACAAATAAATTTGTTAAGTATTTTATCGTGAGTTTAAATTAGTGGACCCACGGAATCCGTAACAATTGGTGTCGGAAGTGCGATTCAAGAGGATTTTAAGAAGAAATTAAGTGGATTGGAAGATTTTTAGACCGAATTAGAGTATTTTTATGGTTGGTACAAGGGAGCAAGAGAAGAAAATGGAGGAAGTAAGCAAATTATTGGGCGATTTTATGGAGAATATGAGAAGAGAGAAGGCAAAAGAACAAGAAAGACTCCGTAAAGAACGAGACGAAGAGCGAGCCCGACTAGAAAGAGAAAAGGAAGAGGAAAAACTACGACGTCAACAAGAACAGGACCGCCTTGAGAACATTTTCGAAGATTTGAAAGTTCAACGACAACAAGAGAAACAAGAAGAATAGGACCGGCTTGAGAAAATTTTCGAAGATTTGAAAATTCAACGACAACACGACAAAGAAGAAGAAAAGGACCGGCTTAAGAAAATTTTAGGTAGGTAATTTAGAAATCCGTCAAAAGAATGAATGGAGGGAAATTTTAAAAGATATAGAGACGCACCGCCAGAAAGAAAGACAAGAAGATCAAAACCGTCTTAAGAAGAACTTTGAAGAACTCGAAAAAAGGCAAGAAATCCACCTTCAAGAAGCCGTAGAAGATCTGGAGGAACGCCTTCAGCAGAAAATGGAAAAATTAGTGATGGACCTACAGAAGACCAAGGTACAAGTAAGGACACCTGGCGTTCATGGAACTGCGAGCCTCAAGGCCCCGACCTACGATAGACAAACCACCTGGACGATGTACCACCGCCAGTTTGAAGCAGCGGCTGCTGCCAATGGATGGACTGACCAAGAGAAAGCAGCAGCACTTGTCATCGTGCTGCGTGGCCCTGCCCTGGAATAGTTGCAAACTATTCCTGCAGCCCAACAGCAGGAATACCAAACTTTGGTCGCTGCACTGGACAGAAGATATGGCGACCAACATCGACGCCAACTTTACCAGTCCCAGATCAAGACACGCCTGCAGAGGTTCGGAGAGAATCTGCAGGAATTTGAAGCAGACTTACGTTGGCTGGTACATCTAGCATACCCAGAAGCACCGAAAGGATTTAGGGAGGAACTCGCTGCTCAGTGCTTTATCAGCGGACTGAAGGACCAAGAGTTACAGAGGGCACTGCAAATTTCGCGATTTTCGACCAGCAGCGAAGTACTCGTTAGGGCGCTAGAAATTGAAGCTGCTTTTAGCGCCATTCCTAGAACGAAGATAGGCTCGGTAACGATTGAGGAACAGCCAAAGAGTTCTCGCATACGTTTGGAGGAGATCTTTAATAAACTATGTGAGTTACTAGTGAACAAGAGAGTCAACAACACCCAGACAGAGAATCAGAGAAGATCCCAGGATATTAGGTGCTATAGATGTGGCAGGAATGGCCATATCCAACGGGATTGTCGCATCCAAATGCCATTCCGTTCATCATCAAGAGAACATCGGCACATCGGAAGATCCCAGGACATAAGTTGCTATAGATGTGCCAGGAATGGCCACATTAAACGGGATTGCCGCGTCCAAATGCGAGTCCGTTGACCATTCAGAGAACATAGGCACCAGGATATCAATACTAATGGGCGAGTATTGGATGAGGAAAACAGAGCCGGATGTTTTCCATTAGGAGTCTAGGAAAAACCGCTGACAGTTTGGTGATGGGAAGGTCAATGGTAGAAGAATTCGAATGAGTGTGGACACAGGCGCTATGGTCTCGTTGGTGCGGACTAACTCAGTGCAAGGATTGAAGATGATGCCTCTTAGAAGAAGAGTGTATTTACGTACAGTTACGGGGAAATGGCCGTTGTACGGGGAGCGGCTTTCATGAAACTGGAGTTAGGGAATTTGAAGATTCGGCATAGCGTTTTAGTGACAGACATTGAAGATTTTATCATGGGTATGGATGTGATCAGTCAACATGGTTTTTCGTTCGATCAGCATAGGAACATCCTCAAAATCGGAAATGAGGAATTTTTTGTATCTAAAGAGAAGAGACCAGGAAATATGGAAGCAAGATCAGCGGAAATTGTGATGATACCTGGTGATGCCAAGAAGACTGTGTTCGGGAAAATGGAGAAAACCCCTGAGTGCCGTGTAGGACGGGTACAAATTATCGACAACGAGCCAGATCGACGACGAGCTAACTTGGGCAAGTAAATGAAACATCGCGAAAGCACTATCAGAATAAGGAATTTTAAACTGAGAACTGACGAACAATGGCCGACGATACAATTGAGGAAAGATCAAATGGAAGATCCAGACATCGGAGCAATATTACGGCTCAAGGAAGATAACGGCTAGAGATCGCCGTGGCAGGATATTGCGGACAGAGGGCTGGTTTTCAAAGCTCTCTGGGCTCAGTGGAATTCACTGGTGATTGAGAATGGATTGTTAAAGCGCACGTGGGAAAGTGCGGATGGCAGGACAATTGGCACAACTCAGTTACTGGTACCAAGGAAGAAGATTGCCCAGGTATTAGAAGAAATTCATGGTGGTAAGACTGGAGCCCATCTTGGAGTAAACAAGACCTTGAGCAAGCTGAGAGACCGTTTTTACTGGGTGGATTATTGCGAAGATGTTAAGAAATGGTGTCAACGTTGTAAGATGTGCGCAGCTAGACAAGGACCAAGTACTCGATCTGGGAGAGAAATGGAACAGGATAGCGTTGAACTGTCGTTCGAAAGAATCGCTAGAAAGGAAAGATTATTGGACATTCTTAAGGCCGTTAAAAGGAAGATTGCGCTAGCCAGTGACCGAATGAAAGCTGGTTACGACCTCAGAGCTAATTCTACGGGATTTCAACAGGACGATAGGGTATAGTTGCATAACCCACAGCGCAAGAAAGGAAGGTCCCCAAAGTTAACTCCAGCATGGGAAGGTCCTTATACAGTCATCAAGAGGATAAATGATGTTGTGTACCGGATTCAACGCAGCCCTAGAAGTAAGATGAAAGTAGTTCATCTGGATCGATTGAAGAGATACCAGACAAGAAACCTTGATCGGGACTATCAAATTTGAGAAGGGGGCAATGTCAAGGTCAAGGTGTATTACTGGTTGTATTACTGGTTACTACGTAACCGCAACGTGCATTGAGGAACCTGGCGAATTCGCCAGAAAGTAAAAGAAAATTACAGAATTCTTTAGAACGTTCCAGAAAGACTCGCCAGGGGGTATATAAAGGCCCGCGCTTTGGCAGTTGGCAGTCTGAAGTTTGATAATACCGCGCTTTAAATTGTGAATTAATTGGCGAAGGTGCAAGTACCGTTAGAGTAATAGTAGTTGCATAAATTGTGTTGTAAATAGTTGTGTGTACAGAGTGAGACAAATAAATTTGTTAAGTATTTTATCGTGAGTTTAAATTAGTGGACCCACGAAATCCGTAACAATATCATATGTCAACTTTTGACATATTCGCTCAAAAACAAATTATATTTTAAATTTCAATCTAGAGTGCCATGGCTGTGTTACAAACACTATTTTTTAATTAATGAGCCTTGGAAAAATAGATTTGATCGTCTAATGTTTGAAGTGTCTTGTCATGGCCGGTTAAAAGATACCCAAAACGTATTTTTAATCATATCTCAATTTTTTGAAAGGGAACAAGAATGGCTCATTAGCATATTTGTTAAAAGCATTTTTTACGAATAATTTGATACCACACACTTGGTATTTCGAGTCAAATTAATTATTATTACCGCAAGTTACAATTTTAAATAAACCATATGCGAAAATATCAAAAGTTGACATATAATATGTCATTCTATTCAGACTGTCATTGTCTATCGAATAAAGTTAAAAAATACCGAGGGTGACATTTAAAAATTAAAAGTTATATACATTTAAAAATTAAAAGTTATACCGAAAACAATTGAATATGTCAATCAACCCTAATTTATGTCATATACTAACATACCAAATATCGTTGTTTTATCTGAAAAAATAAAAAAGTTATATGGGTGAGCCACTTTAGAGAGGCACCCGATATACCATGAGAATGTGATAAATTTTATATCGGTGAAACATCTAGACCCTTAAATGTTTTAAATGAATTAAAGAACACATAAAGATTATTTAAGAAAGGGCGATTTTCACAAATCTAAGATTTGTCAGCATTCATGGAGCACAGGGCACAGAGTAGATTTTAACAACACAAAAATTATAATGAAAGAAGCCATAGCCTCTGAAAGAAAAATAAAAGCGGCTTTTTTAATACAATTTAATAAAAATAAATGTATTGCTCATACATCTGAAGAGGTTAGTAATGTTTGACAATCGCTTCTTTGATTTTAAAGAACATAACATAAAAATTAAAAAGAAATTAAAAAATAATAATACAGAAAGTTTTTTGGTTTTACCTTATTAAGTACCTAATAATTCTTGATATGAGGTAGTAATTGTTAATTTTGAACTTAAAAGTCATTTTAACAGAACGTCAACGGTTTTTTATAGACGTATCTGTTTAAAAAAAACTAAAATGTTCTCGCATTTAGATATTTTAAATAGTTTTTTTCTTTGTTCTTTGTGTTTTTTGTTGCTTCCGATGACGGGAAGAGATATACTTCCCGAAACGTTAAGCATTACAGTCGCGAAATACCCATAGGCCTTTTTTGAAGAAATATACAGGGTGAGTCCTAAATAAGTGCAAATATTTTCCCTGGCTGGTAGATCTCGATAAAAGAAACATATTTTCTCTTTACCATTTTTCAGATAAGTCCAAAATATCCGAGTTATTTAAGTTTGAAAATTTAAAAAAAAATTAATTTTTTTTGAAAAAAATTTGTGAGCCACCAGATTTTTTTCTGTAATTGCATCCCTTTTAGTTTCGTAGTCATAGAGTAAAGCCGTAACTATGTTAATATCAGAGATTAAGAAATGATACCGTGGGAAAATTTGCAGTGAACAGGCAGTTCTAAAAAGTTTTCAAAAAATATACAGAGAAATTTAAAAGAAAATGCACGATTTTCAACATCTTTTTTGGGAAAAAGCGTCATAGACGTGTTCCTGGGGTCGAAATATACCACCCCTGAAAATATTTGCACTTATTTAAGACTCACCCTGTATAATCATATTCTTTTAAACTTTATTACTTACCTGCAGATGCTGAGTTAGAAGCATTTTTATCATCTTTTCTTGTAGATTCTAGGACCATGTATATCAGTAATAATATTGCAATTCTGTCATAAAAAAAAGAAAATTAAACCGAAACCAGTATAATAAGATTCCTTGTATATTTTACATCAAAAATAAGTCCAACATTATAAAATTTTTCTCAGTGTCGCACTCCAGCTTTTCGACTTCTAGGGTTACATTATAGTCTTTTAGTTTCTCTTCCATTGTATATGCTATATAAGCTTTAGCTTCCTTTGTGTTTTTCACATTTACTTCTTTAGGAATGCAGATCATCCTGTGTAGAGACGATCTACGAAATCTTGAACTGTCATTTGCAGATTTCTAAAAAATTGTATTTTATATCAATAAACATCAAATATTACAAAAAAAAATCACCAAAAAACTATGTATAAAATGTACAAAAAAGAGTTTATTTGGACATTATAAACTATTGTTTATAATTATCACAAAAGGAAAAATGTATTTAAACAAATTAAAAGTATCAAAAAGCAACAAATCAATAATTAATAAATAATAAAATGTAGAAAATATTGAACTTTAATTTTTTTTAGATTAAAACGTTATTTTAGTGCCGTAGGAACATTATTCAACATAAAATATTATGTACCTTGATTTCTACTGCCAATTTGGAACTATCATTATACACTGTCAAGTAAAAGCTTGTCTTGCAATAAGTACCACTCTCATCTCTGCATTTGTAGAAATCGTCTTTTTCAAATAGTACCGGCAGTCCATCTTAAAAACACTTTTTTCATCATAATTTCCAAAAAGGAACTGTAGAACTCTACCCACCTTCTGTATAGTGTTTATTTTGTGAGCAAGACACTAAAATACACTCGAAGAACACTAGAAAAACAAAAAATGACTCTTTGAGCCACATTGACGATATTTTGTAACAAAATTTTTATCTTTTACTATAAGAAAAATGAAACTTTACTAAAATATAATAATACTATGATAATTTTGGTTGTTTTTTTAATAAGTTAAAATAAAATTCGAATTTAATTCGACCAACCGCAGCGCGATCACTACCGAGAATTGTGTAATTGGGTATTAACTAATGAAGTTTGGAGAATGCTCGATTGTTGTCCAAAAGTCCACAATATACTAGCGCTTATTTTGTTTAAACAATGCTTTAAATAATGCAATTATCTTCACATTTTACTATGTGGTTTCTGTTTTTTATATACGATAATTTAAACATTTGTCACAGAATTTGTTTATGTATTTTTTATGATGACATATATTTTTTTCTAAATGACATAGACCAGTGTGCAGCGAAGAATTATACTACTTTTAGTTGAATAAAGAATAAAGATATATAATAAACACAGAAAAAAAAATATCAATAATATAATCAAAAAAAACAAGAACTTTTTAAGATACATTTTTACCAGTTTTCATGTTTTATTATTAATTTTTCAGGTACTTTTCAATGTTTTATAATAAATCCAAATTCTCCCTGTTTAAAAGACTGAAAATTTGTCTCTTTGTATTAGGATTTCCGGAAACGGAGCTATTTTCCGGAACCGGGAATTTCGATACCACTCCTTTTAGCAACCGGATTTTCCCGGTTTTTTTCAGTATTTTCGATACTAACTAATTTTTGGTCAATGATGGTGCAGTTCATCCATTAGACAGCCTGGGATGATTTTCCAAAGTAAAATCGATAAAAAATTGAGATTTTTAATGAAAATATCAAATTATTAAGTAATCAGTCATAACCAAACACAAGCAAAGAAAAAAATATGGATAATTTAAAATTCACATTAAACATCACAAACCAGTTTAACTAAATTTGAGAAAAAAAGCTCCACATTTTAAAATTAAAAATACAAATATCTATTAAAATATAACTAATACACTGAACAACATTATGCTAAATAATAAAAAAATAACAAATTTAAATGTCAGTAATTATATACTAATAAACATTATAGAAACTTCAAAAGAACTTCAGAAGTAAGAATAATAATATAACACCACTACTTATTTATTTATATTATTAATTTTTATTTTAGAAGAGTTTGATTACGACCGCTAGAAAGTAACAAAAAATAATTTTTTAATTATTGTTACCGAGTCCCACCAGAAGCGGAATTTAATAATTTTGAGTCTCGGTTCTTTGATGTCTCAAAAGAACCCTACTTTGTATATGTCGTTTATTTGGAGTATGCATAAGTATACTTAAAAATTGTTAAAATAAAAAAATATATATAATGTGTAGATAAGTCTTGTTTTTTTTTTAACAGTCTGTTGCTCGTTTTAATATACAAGGTGGCCCACCTCATTCGCCTCGGTTGATTATACGAAGACGGAAATAGGTAGAAACAAAAATTTTTATGGGTATACCAGGTGCGTCTCAAAAGTGGCTCACCCCTATAACTTTTTTTTTCAGATAAAAAAACGAGATTTGGTATGTTAGTATATGATATAAATTAGGATTGATTGACGGTATTCAATTATTTTTGGCCACTTTCTGTTTCACCGGAAATGACTACAACTTTTGATTTTAAAATGGCACCCTCGGTATTTTTTTACTTTATTCGATAGAAAATGACATTCTGAATAGAATGACATATCATATGTCAACTTTTGACATTCTTGCTTAATAAAAAATCGTATTTTAAAATTCAATCGATGGCTTTGTTAAAAACACTAATAATTCTTAATCAAGGAGCCTTGGAAAAATAGATTTGAACGACTAATTTTTTTAGTGTCTTGTCCTGGCCAGTTAGAAAATGCTTAAATCGTATTTTTAATCTTACCTCAATATTTTCAAATGGAACGAGGGTGGCTCATTAGCATATTTTAAAAAGCATTTTTTTACGAATAATTTGATACCACATACTTGGTATTTTGGGTCAAATTTTCGTTACGAACCGCAAGTTATAATTTCAAATAAAGCATATGCGAAAATGTCAAAGTTGACATATGATATGTCATTCTATTGAGAGTGTAATTTTCTATCGAATAAAGTAAAAAATACCGAGGGCACCATTTAAAAATTAAAAGTTGTAGTCATTTCCGGTGAAACAGGAAGTGACCGAAAACAAATGAATACGTCAATCAATCCTAATTTATGTCATATACTTACAAACCAAATCTCGTTTTTAAACTGAAAAAAAAAGTTGTAGGGGTGAGCCACTTTTGAGACGCGCCCGGTATATAGAGAGGTAATGTGCATAATATATAAAATTATTTTAAATGTACAGGGTGTGTCAGAACTAAGATCCATACCAAAGTTATATTTTTTCTTATGGTTTTAAACACCCGGTATTTTATTATAATTTTGGATTCTTGGGCATAAAATATGGGTTTAATATGTTTAAATACTTTGATTTTCGAGATATTTAAAGATATTTAAATATGCATGCTATAATATAAAAGTTTGTCAACACCCTGTACATTTTTTTCATTTCAGAGTTAATTCTTGTGCTGACTTTGAAGCCAGAGAAATAAACTTTGCTTAAAAATTTTATTGCTTCCTTAAATGTATACAGGGGTATCAATTGCTGGTCTATTTTAAATATTTATTTTACATAAAAACTTCGTTATTTCAAACACAACACTAGGTATTTTTTTAAATAAGTCGAAGCAAATATAAATGCTCCTTCAATCTATCTTAGGGTTTCTTGTACCTATCTGGCAGATATTTTGAATAAAAAGCGATTTTTCAATAAAATGGCAATCAAGATGGCTTGTCTCGCCATGAAAATTTGCTAGTGACAGTTAGTAGCTATTTTCAAGATCGACATTAGTCTGTGGACTTTATTTAAATGTATAACAGTTTACTTTTATTTAATTTACTTACCAATAGTTTAGTAAGTAAGTATTTATTATTTTATCAAGAATAATAAAGAAGTAGTTCTTTGATTTATATTACAATGACTTGTCGATATATTGGATTTTCTATAAAAGAACCAATTAAGGCCAATTCATTTTTTTCACTTCCCACGACAGGTTTTTGCCTAATATGTTTCTTATCAGTTCTGAGAAATAGGAAAGTAGTTTTTAAAGGAACGCCTGTCAAGAAAATTCCTATTTGGAGATTTTTGAGCATAAACCCTTCAGGCCAATAAGCCATTGTCCTCATACAAAATAAAATCACTAGTAACATATTCATTCTTTCCGTCAGCAGATACTGCTTCACTTTTCTTGATAAAATAATAAAGACTTACTTATTAACCTAGTACGAGAGCTAGCAACGTCGGAAAAACAAGTATTTTAAGACGTCTGGCTCTTTGATATATCTTTTACTATGCTCTCTAGAACCACGGATTAGGTATACTATATGTATACAGATAAAAATCTTATCCCTCATTCGTGGTACGAAAATTGTTTTTTATGACGATGTGCAAACGAGTAAAATTTCCTGTGCGCAGAAATAAACTCGCGTAAAATAACAATAAACAGCGTAATAGAGAGATATCGCTAAACCGAATATCGTGCATGGAAGTTAATAAGGGTGTTAATTCCTTTACGTGAGGTGGTATTAACTCTCTTCATTTATAGTTATCGGATCGGAAAGAATTCTGTTCTCGTCGCGTCCGCTATTTAAACTTAACCTAACTTTGAATTTAAAACTTTGAAATTGTTTTGTTTACTAGGTATTTTAAAACTAAAGGGCTTATTTCCAGTGTTTCATTGTTCAACGTCTGACAGTGGGTTTAGGGCAACAAGCAACAAATTCTCTTAGAAGGGCTAAGTCGTCATCTGCTGTAAACCTAAGCCTCTTTATAGGTTCTTTAATAATGGAAGAGGTGGAATCCATATTTTGGGCCATATTTATTTAATTAAAACTTATACCAGCTACTTAAATATCAAATTACCTAATAAAATTAAAGTAATAATTTAAAACAATTCAAACATAACCTAAAATAAAAGATCTCCCCGCTCGCCGGCCGGCCCCGGTTGTCAAATGTACCCGCACATGCCCATTTAAACAATTTTTGAACGTTATTTAGAAATAGCGCTTGATGTAATTAATCCGCAAATTACGTCAGGCGGTAACGTTATTAGCGGGTGTTGCGTTAAAAATTGACTCGCGCATATCATAACCATGATAAGGTACGCGTAAATACTGCATGACGCTATTCGGTTTTCCGATATCTCTCTAATAACTCTGCCGGTCAGGCGCTGTACACAATTTTAGAGGCCATAAGTGAGCGTGCTATGTGCGCAAACTAGTATCCTAACTAGTGCCCGATTCCGAAAATTGGAACCACGAAAAACTATAAAGAAAAAACAAAGTTTATAATCTGTATGATCTGTGCTAGAACAGCATGCGGCCCGTCTGGCTGCCGGTACACGTTGCGTTCCCTACTGCGCATTGAAAGAAGATCCTATATTTTTATTAGTCCTTTAAATTCTAAAATTGAATATAAATCGAACATATCTCCATAGCGCAGTGCGTAGAGTTTCCGACCACGAACCGATGATTCAGAGTTCGAATGCGGATCGGGGCAAAGACTTTTTTATTTTATTTTCGTTTATATTCTGATAGTAAAGTATTAAATATTTGTTTTTATTTAATTACCAGAATTATTTAATACTTTTCTATCAGAATATAAACGAATATAAAATAAAAAAGTCTTTGACCTGACCCGGATTCGAACTCTGAATCATCGGTTCGTGGTCGGAAACTCTAGGCACTGCGCTATGGAGACATGTTCGATTTATATTCAATACTAGAATTTATAGGACTAAATTAATAAAGAATATAGGATCTTCTTCCGATGCGCAGTAGCGAACGCAACGGGTATCGGCAGCCAGACGGGCTGCATGCTGTTCCAGAGAGCATAGTAAAAGATATATCAAAGAGCCAGACGTCTTAAAATAATTTCTCGAAAACGTTGCTAGCTCTTAGACTATTACTGTTGGTAAATTAAATAAAAATGACCTGTTATAAATTTAAATAAAGTCTATAAACTAATGTCGATTTTGAAAATAGTTACCAAGTGTCACTAAAAAATTGCCATGGAGACACCAGCCATCTAGATTACAATTTTATTGAAAAATCGCTTTTATTCAAAATCTGAGCTAGATAGGTATAGGAAACCCTAATATAGTTTGAAAGAGCATTTAAATCTGCTTCGACTTATTTAAAAATACATAGTCTTGCATTTGAAGTAACGAAGTTTTTTTTTATAAA